TGGAGGAGGTGGAGCTGCTGGAAGCACCGGGGAGGAGGAGATCAGCCCCGAGGATGATCAGAGAGCCAACAGGACCCTGTTCCTGGGGAACCTGGACATCACGGTCAGCGAGTCCGACCTGCGACGGGCTTTCGACCGGTTTGGGGTGATCACTGAGGTGGACATCAAAAGGCCTGGGAGGGGACAGACCAGCACCTATGGGTTTCTTAAGTTTGAAAATCTGGACATGGCTCACCGGGCCAAACTGGCCATGTCAGGAAAGGTGCTTCTAAGGAACCCCATCAAGATCGGGTATGGGAAAGCCACCCCCACCACCCGGCTGTGGGTGGGGGGCCTGGGGCCCTGGGTGCCCCTGGCTGCCCTGGCCAGGGAGTTTGATCGGTTTGGCACCATCCGCACCATCGATTACAGGAAAGGGGATTCCTGGGCCTATATCCAGTACGAGAGCCTGGATGCAGCCCAGGCTGCCTGTACCCACATGCGTGGGTTCCCCCTGGGGGGGCCGGATCGGCGCCTCCGCGTGGACTTTGCCGACACGGAGCATCGGTACCAGCAGCCCTACCTGCAGCCTCTGCCCTTGCCACCTCCTGCTCATTACGAGCTGGTGGCGGAGGCTGCTGCTTTTGGGGCTCACCGGGGAGCCCCCCCTGACCCACTTCGGGGGGCCCGGGACAGGACGCCACCCTTGCTCTATAGAGACCACAACAGAGACCTTTATCCCGAGGCGGAGTGGGTTCCCCCCCCACCCCCTGTCCGGGATAGGAGTAATCGTGCAGCTGCCTACGACCCACTGGAAAGCCTGGAACGCCGTCGGGACGGTTGGTCCTTGGAAAGGGACCGAGGGGAGAGGGAATTGGGCAGTAGCAGTAGGGATCAGCCTAGGAAAAGGAGGCTGGTGGAGGATGGAGGCCGGCACTTGGAGCGCTCTCCGGACAGCGAGCGCTCCTCTTCCTCGCGGAAGCGCCACTGTTTGACCACGACCTCTCCCCCCGACCGCAGCCCCGAGCTCCTGGGAGGGAGGGAACGTTACAGCAGCGACCCCGAACGTTCCTCCTCTCGTTTGCTCTTGTTGGAGAGACCTTCTCCTGTCCGGGAATCTCGTAGGGGGAGCCTGGAAAGGGGACAGAACGAGAAGCGCGACCGCAAGAATTCCGTTGAGCGGGAGCGGCAACATCGCGCGGTGGAGGC